AATAATAATAATAAAATCGGTCAGTCTGTCCCCGATAGACCAGTGGGGGAGTCTGGAAAAGGGGCGTATGCAGACGAGCGGGACCCCCCGCTCCCTCCGTCCTGGTTTCTGTACAAAGCATTTTAAAAAATAAACCCCCCGGACGCAGGCGGCAGCGGCCCGGAGGCCGTGGCGGGGGTTAGACCCGGGAGGCGGCGCCCAAGCTGTGAAAGGTTTTGTCACTCTGGCTCGCTCCCCCCTGACGGAAACCCGAGGCGATTTCGTCGAAGGTCCGACCCTTCGTCTCCGGCACCTTGAAGTAGGTGAAGATGAAGAAGAGGACTAGCAGCACCGTGAAGATGATGAAGACGTAGGAGCCGCAGAGTTGCTGGGAAGGAGAGAAGAGGACGACGGGGTGAGCGCGTGGAGGGAGCTGGTCCTCCATCACCGGTGCCAGGAGGGGAGCGATGGACCACGGCTGAAGGACCACCCGGTGACCGTCCTGCCTGCACAGTCCGAGACCGGGGTCCTCCCTCCCTCCCACAGGGTATCTCAAGTTGGAAGGTGCCCGTAAGGACCATCCATCCGCCCCCCTGCTTGTTCCCCAGGCCCTGTCCCTCCGCCCGAGGGGCGTTCGCCCAACCAAACCCCCTCGGCCCCGGTTTTAGGGCTCACGAGCCACAGAACCCACCCGGGGTGGGGCAGCCCCAACCCCGTTCCCACCAAGAGCACCAGGAGATGATTACCGCGATGTACTGGAAGCCCATGCCCACAATGAAGTTCGAGGTCCAGTTGGACAGCCCGGCAACAGCGAAGGCAGCAGGACGAGGGCCTTGGCTGAACAGTTCTGCCACGATAAACCAGGGGATGGGGCCTGGACCGATCTCAAAGAAGGCCACGAACCCGAAGATGGCCACGATGCTGAGGTAGGACATCCAGGACATTTGGTCCTAGGCCGAGGGAGAGAGAAGGTCGGTTTGGTGAAGGGGGACGAAGCATCCGGCCATCCCAGATGATGGGACCCAAGCACGCGTGGTGCTGGCAGAGGAGCCGTGAGGTTTCTCCAGATGGGAGACCAGGTTTCTGGGGCCTCGAGCGAGGTATGGGCAGCGGAGACCGCTCAGCCATCGCCTCTAGGAGGTCAAGTCCTTCCTCCTCCTCGCAGCCACCACAGTGAGGGGCAGCGTGCAGGACCTCCTCTCAGACCACCCGTCCCCTCCAGGCCCATCGCTCACCAGCAGCGTCAGGGCGATGGTCATCAGCACCGCACACCCCGCCATCCCCGCCAGGCCGATGAGGTGGAGGGTCCTGCGTCCTGCTCGTTCCACCACGAAGAGCTGTTGGATGGAGACACGCGTCCATCAGCACATCCCCAGCCCGGAGGAAAGCCTCCTTCCCTCCACCCTCCCTGGTGAGGGCTCGGTGGGCCAAAACTCACCGAAACAACGGTGAAAGCCGTATTCACCACACCGGAGCCGATGGTGGCGTAGACGGGCTGCTCCACACCCGACTTCTCGAAGATGCTGGTGGAGTAGTAGAAGACCTACAAAGGACACGGACGTGCCATGAGGAAAGGCGTCAGGTCTCGGAACCAGCACGACCCAAGTTCTGGGCGATACAAGCTGACCCAGGGCATCCCGGTCCCCCCAAAACTCACAGCGTTGATCCCCGAGAGCTGCTGGGACAGCTGCAGGACGATGGCGATGAGGATGGGCTGGCGATACATGGGGGAACGGAAGAGCTCCATTATGGTGACCTTCTTCTCCCTCATCATTTGCCGGCTCTCCTCCTTCATCTCCTGGAGGTCGCTGCTGACGTCCGTCGTGCCCCGCAGCTTCTTGAGGACTAAGGGGAAGAGGAGGAGTCAGGAGCAGCTGAGGACCCTCCTGCGTGGCGGGACGAGCTCGGGGACAGGGGTCACTCACCGCTCTTGGCTTTGTTCTCCTCGTTGCGGTTGATGAGGAGGAAGCGCGGGCTCTCGGGGGCGAAGGGCAGAATGATGCATTGCAGCAGGGCAGGGACGAAGATGAACCCCAGAAGCAGTGGCCAGAGTGAGTCGTTTCCCATGATCAAGTCCAAGCCGAACACCTGAGGAGGAGAGGCCTTCAGCCACCCTTTCCCAGCCCAAGCTGGACCCAGCTCTCCTGCCCACAGGCGTGCTACAGGCTGGGACACCCATCAGAGGGGCACAGACAGCTGAGCTGCTTCCAGGTGGCCAACAGACGTCGTATCACGATGCTGCCCATCCCAAACCTTAAGATCTCGCACCAGGAGAGATTAAAGATGGGGGAACCCCCCCTGCCCCAGCCAGTTCTCGGGCACTCACTTGTGCGATGAGGATGCCCAAGACGATGCCGAGCTGGTGGAAGGTCCCCAATGCGCCCCGCAGTGCAGTGGGCGACACCTCGCCCACGTACATGGGCACGAAACCGGTGGTGAGGCCGGAGTAGAGGCCGATGATGAAGCGGCCAAGGATGAGCATCTCGAAGGATAAAGCCATCTTGGAGAAGCCCATGAGGACGGCGGACACGAAGGCGAGAATGTTGGACATCAGCATGGAGTTGCGCCTGAGGAGGGAAGGGAGGAGGGCGGTGAGGACCACGAAGGGTCAGAGAGGCTGAAGGGGCATTGGGAGAGCCCCAACACCAGCTCCTGGCAGGAGGGGGGTGCCCAAAGCCACCCCACCAGGATGCTGGGGCAGGGTGAGGCTGCACAACCCTCCCCATTGAGGTCCACGATGCTCGGTGCTCACCGTCCGAAGCGATTGACAAAGAGCCCCACAGAGAAGGATCCGATCATGCCTCCGACGGAGAAGATGGCGACAGAGAGGGACCAGAGTGTGGTGAGGGTGGCAGGGCTGATGGGCTCCTCATACCGGTACAGCCAGGTACGGTTGTAGAAGTCCTCAATCACCTGCAAAAGAGGGAGGAGAAACGAAGCCATGGGTTAAAACCATCCCCATTTCATCTGTGCCACCGGTGTCATGAATTGCCCAGCCTCAGCCCGGCCACCCTTGGCCGGCAAGCGCGGCTCACAAGATGATGTGTCACGGAGCCGGGAGCCGCCCAGCTTGCCGGTCGGTGGGCCGGGGGCAAACCCA